ACCTATATGAGAATGCCCTTTGAGTGAAATTCAGGAAAAATAATCCCATTAAAATTACACCTAGAGTTGGCAGACATCGTTTTCAGCAAAAAAAGGTATTATAAAAACAAATTAGCTTAACTAGATCACAAGGGCTATGCTGTACATTTGTGTTAGAAAACAACTGAAGATGAGGTGGTGATTTTAAATAAACTGTTATCACATGCAGGTGATTTTGAAAAACATAACCCTCTCTATTTTTTTAAAGATTATAAAGGTAATATATATTCATTTAAAAATTGGCAATATAAAAAATATAAAGAAAATATAACATCAAAAATTCTTCCAGTAGAAAGAAGCATAATATATTGAGGAATATATTTCAAGCCTTTTATCTGTGTAGTTCTTTACATAATTGGAATCATATTTTATACACATTGCACTACTTTAGGCTAGGTTTTTGTCTCAGTAATGAAACATGACCTTGTTATGCCATTAAAAATTATTTGAAAGTGCTTTGTTAACGTATTAATTTTTATCACTACAAAAAACAGTACTATTAAATATGTTCTGCTTAAGTATTTTTCTATACTTCAGATTAACCTCCTCAACAAGAAGTACATCTTAGAAGTAAAATTACTAGGTTATGAGGCATGAGTATTTTAAAGGCTTTTATATTAAATTTAGTCGACTTTTTCAAAAAGTGTTATCAATTTGTGTCCACCATCAGTGGATAAGTGCCTTCATCTTAATGCCCCATGGCAGTTTTCAGTTTTATTATAATTTATGATTGCTGATTTGATGAACGAAAATCAGCATTTCATAGTTGAGTATACTCACCATTACTAGCAACCTCCTATTCCCAGCCTTCTTGTTGCACATTCAAAATAGGCACAGAAACTGAGGTTTCTGGGCAGAGAGAGAAAAGATGACAGTGAAGGTGAAGAGTTATGTGACATAAGATTGAACAGGTGGAATCATAGGTAACTTTTACTCAGCGTGGCTTGTCCTTAGTCCTCAGGACAGCTGAAGTCGTTCATATTTTACGGCTCTGACGGACCCCAGTGCACACACATCCTTGCCACTGCCACTTGCCTTTTCCCAATAAAAGGTAGCGCAGCTCTCGCTCATGTTCTACCAGGTTCCCCTTAAGCATTAGGACAGGGCAGAAAAAAAGAAAATAGGAAATGGTCAGCTGTATAACTTGGGGTGATAAGAGAGAAGCTCCATCTTCAAGTCTTGGGCAGTATTTTCTTGGCACCTTTATAACAAAAAAGTTCCATTAAAATGAATTCTTCCTGGGGCTGGCCCGCTGGAGTAGTGGTTAAGTTCACATGCTCCACTTTGGTGGTCCGGGAACCAAGGCACCACTCGTCAAGCCATGATGTGGCGGCGTCCCACATATAGAGAAAGACGGGCACAGATGTTAGCCCAGAGCCAGTCTTCCTCAGCAAAAAGAGGATTGGCAATGGATGTCAGCTCAGGGCTAATCTTCCTCACACACACACAAAAATGAATTCTTTTTGTCCTAAGTTGTAATTGTCCATTTACATATCAGCTTCTCCAAATAAATTATATCAACTTTAGGGCAGGGACTTAATTACATCTTATTTATTTCTCTTGATTCCTAGCATTTCATGGAATAAAGACCCTATCAAGCATTTGTTAAATGTTTATAGCTTTAGCTTTGTGCATTCTCCATTAGTTGGTCTAACCATTTATTTAGCTCCTATTTAAATAGATGTCATTCTCAAATGTTAGATAATGTTAAGCCAGGCTAGATGATTGAAAAAAAAATCCTTATCTTAAAGGATATAGATTATAACTGTTGTACAACTAAGATGAAATGTTAAATAGTACAAGGAATATTTGGTAATGTGCATGAGTAATATGTTTGAGATGCATAATTTTGCTAACAAAATACTGTGAGGTAAATGTTAAATTATCTATCAATTACTACCACACAGGTGCTTGAAATGAGCTAGGCTAGGTTTTTAAGAAATCAACATATGGATTATGAAAATCACAATAAAACAAACAAAAACTATCTCTTAAAAATCTCTGTAACTTCATGTTATCAAAAAAAAAAAAAATCATACCTATACTGCTGAGAGGCCTTTAAGACAATTGGAGGCTCATAATATTAAAATATCCAAAAGCACCCCCTAGTGGCCAAAAAGCGATTCACATATAAGACAACAAAATTGTATATAAATAATGAGTATCCTGACAATATTTAACTGAAAAATTTCTAAATGAGAATAAAAATGAGTGTGGCTGTCATTAACTTTGTTTTAATGATTCTGCACTGCTCTATTCAATAATATAGTCCGTTGGAAAAATTAACCTTAGTACTAAAAATATACTTACCATATAAAATACATATATTTGCAACGCAAATAGACACCACAGTTCTGCTGACTCTTTGTAGCTGTTTGTCTATTATTTTTTCATTCCCTGAGCTTCTACTCATGGCAGCAGCGTTTACCTCTAGCCTAAGGAAAACTGAGTACAGTTAAACATGCCTAATCTGATCATATTTTCACTAGAGACAGCTCCTGTTTAAAATATTAAATATAATGGTTTAAATCATTAAGTATTCATCACAAACACTTTTTGCCATTAAACTAATATTACCTAATTAGAAATATCCATAATGTTTCCTATCAACCTTGACTTCACTGTTTTCAAGTGCTAAATTTTATTGGCTATGAAGAGAATGTTTCTTGTGCCTTAAAAATCTTGTGGTGAAACATATTTATAATAGTTTGAGGTCATAAACACTTCAATAAAACAGTAATAATTTATTTAAAAGCTGATGGCACAAAAACAACTGCCAATGATAAGCTACTTTCTCATCAAAAAATTTGTATTTTGACTTCGAATATTTTCTTTATGTTTCAGTTTGTTCCCATCTTTTCACCTATGTCTGGCTAAAAGATAAAATGTCAATGAAAACCAACTAGCGTTTTTTTGCTTCATGTCTTTATTGAATAGGTTCAAAATGAAGATATTATTTGTAATAAAAAAACAGAGTGAACAAGAGACAACAGCAGCCATAATAATCTTACTTTTTTAAGCTAATAACTTTCAGAATAATATATAAGCAATTTTTACATTTTAATTTAAGCTTACAATCTTTTTTTTAATTCTACAACACTGGCAAATACTTGTGAAAATAAATAAAAATAAAATAAATGATGCATCGAACTAGGAAAATTTCTTAAAAACCAAGCTATTGCACAACAAATCAACATGAGAATACTATATGCAAGTAATACAGAAATGTATTTAAATACATTGTCACAACATGTTTCATAATTCATAAATATATTTCACCTACTGTTTATAATAATCTCTGGGTTCTGGAATTGAATGACTTCTTACCAACTCGTTTTCTATGTAGTACATTATAACATTTATTTGCTACTGTGAAATGCAGTGAGAAACAAACATGTGCCACTTTTTAATTTAAGCTCATTTATCTATCCCTTCCCGGGGCAGACAAAAATTATGTGGTCTTAAAAAAATACTTGAAAGAAAATAGTGCTCAGTTCTAAATAAAACAAAATTTTAAAGTTCTGCATATAATTTATAACAATTAGGACAGAAGAACATAAATTACTGAAACAGAAATCTAATATTATTCTCCTAAATTTATTACAGCTTATTCTAATTGATGGACTGTTTTTTTGACCATGATGACTAAATAAAGACAACCAGAAAAAAAGATTAATAAAAATTCAGGAAAGAAACTATAAGGTAAGTAAAATGACAATTCCTATTACCACTAAGTTTGTTTCCCCTGCCTCAACAAAAACAAAAAAACCCCAAAAAACTAATGAATAAAATTATAAAGTATAAGCATAAATAAATTTCAGAGAAAATTATGACACCAATTCCTACACTGATCCTTACAGTGGATCAGAATCATAAGAAACTAGAAATTGCCTATAAAAGATTTGCTTGTACCTTTACAATACAATCAAAAGCTCTGTTAGGTTTGATTCAACAGAAATGACTACTGACTTACTGAATATGGCTGCACCAGCAAAGACAGATTTCTACTACTAAATACCATGTTACACTGAAAGTGACAATGATTAAAAGCTGTATTCTAGTCAAAGTTAGAGTATAATTAAATTTTTGTGAATGTTTAATTACATAATAAGTCAGCTATGCATTAAAGCAATGCATTTTCAGTGGCTTTTTATTGTGATGTGAATGGTGTTTCATCATTAAACATAAAAGAAAACGTGAGTAGGAAAACTTAGATATTCTTTTAACCTACTCATAACTACATCTAACTACAAGGGACTAAAATGCAAATACTTTTTACCTGCATGCCCTGCACTAATGATTAATTACCAAAGTTATTATTTATTAGGTGATGTGGTTTGTATTAAAATAATTTCTTCTAAATTCAGATAGAAATAAACATGAAAGATTTTGCAAGGAATTTTGAGCATCTTATACTAATAATTACATTTTCGAACTGCAAAAAACAAAACTACTCTTTAGACGTGAGGTTATGGAAAAAGAAAGAAAAAAAGTGAAATTTGGAGACACAATTGGAAGTAGAAAGAATATATGTTCAACCAATACACACAGAAGTAAAAAAATCATTCAGTTATAACTAGACTAAGAAACATCTGTATTTTCAGCCGTGTGTTTCTGAAAAGAAAATTGCATAATTACATTTTCAAAGAATGAGTAAAGATTTTTAAATTACATAATTAATAATACACCAAGTAAAGGGCAACATAAACCTTAGGGTTTTTTTCTGTCTTTTTTTTGATATGAATAAAATTCTTTGTGGGAGAGCTCTACAAGAAAATGACCTCACATAACTAATTGTAACTAAAAATATTCTCTTCAATTCCAAAATTCCGAGCATCCCATCCTATTATGGTACTATCTGAAAATAGGCACCAATAATAAAAATGTTTATTCTGATTTTTTGCTCAAAGGAATGATCATCCTAAACCTTTGAGGGCTAAGCAGCAGCGTTTGCGAGTCTGTGGAAGCATACTTATTGTGCTTTAACAACAACAACAAATACCTAAGTTAGTGATTCCACTTGAAATTATTTTCTGACAGATTAAGTGAATATTTCCTTGAATGGCACAGTTTGGGGTATCAGGTATTTATTATATACAGTATATGTACACATATATATATACACACACATTACAGACCCAAAAGATTATGCTCCAAAAATTGCTGAAAAACGTATTTTGAACAATTTTAGCAGAAAAGAACTAGAGGAAGCGCTCTAGCTGGCCAAGCAGCAATAGTCATAAAACTCTGGACTCAGCTCTTTTTTTGGGGGGATTTTGTTCACAGAACCATTCTTCGAACGCCACATTCACAGCAGAACTTTGCCCATTCTACAGGGTATTTAGTCCCACACTCGTGGCAGAATTTTGGTAAGTGTCCAGATGAGTTTCCTTCAATGCCTTTAATGTTTCCGCCATTAAGTGAAGATATATAGTCTCCATCCGGCCTGAGGAAGTACAGAAAAGAAATGGAAACACAAAGTTCACATAACCCTTGGGAAACAGGACATAATATTAAGTATAACTAAAAGCTTCCTTAATCTCATTTTTAATATTCTTCCAGTTCAGATAAAAAAAACAATCTCTTTTAGGAAATACTGAAATTCTAAATGTTGTCTTTGGCATTCTATTTGCCCCTGTTAGGAGAATTCTCCATGAGCACATGCAGCCGCGCCTTCCATCAGCTCTATGTACTTGGCATTTACTACAACGGCAACAGGAGGAAAATTTATAGTGTCCTTTCTGCAAAACCATCTATGAAGAGAGAACTGGAACCCAGCACTGAGGAAGACGGAGATGTTCCGGTTCCCAGGTCTCCCTCATTGGTCACAAGGACTGTAGGTTGAGACTCCTAGTACTTCTTTCATTATTTATTTTAATCGCATTATTAAATTATATTAAATTATTGTGATGCAATAAATGCTCAACAAGCCCTTATACATGCCCTGGCAGAGTGGGCCTTATTAACAACATAGCAACGAAAGTAAAATAGATGTCAGAAGAACTACATACTATAACAACAGTTTTAGAGCAAAATGCTTGAGATTATAAAGGTTTCATCAGAAAAGCCAATCATTGAGGAAATTCAGCTTCTACTGATGAAACACTAATTAACTGGAAGAACAGACATTTGATTCCCATAAGAACATCTTTACATTTCCTCCTGGCATGTGTTCTTCCGAGAACATGATATTTACTTTAAAGTTACCATAAAGAGAATTCAATTGCTGGTGTCATATAAGCATGATGCCATTGAAAAAAATTTTTCTTTTATCTCTAGAGGTAGCCATTGGAGAATTCTAGGTGCTCCCCAGTCTAGATGCTTCTTTCCTGCAGGCAGTTTAAGAGTGATAAAGAATCACTGGACTTTCTGATAAAACCCACTGGGGATCTAAAAGTTATGCTGATGAAAATAAGAGCATATGTCAGTATTTTACAGGCCTGGAAGGTTCTTTCTCCTTTCAGTCCCACTAGAGACAGGCTGTAGAATTACTAGGATCTCCAGCATCAAGAAGCATACCCACTTAGATATTGAGAGCAAATTTATAGCTATCAGAATAATCTTTTCAAACCACAAAGAATATAATGAATTAGAAGACATAACCCCAATCAAGGAAGAATGTCATGGGAAAATAAGCCAATTTTATTGTCAATGAAATGTATAAGAATTACTTTAAAAGAAAAGATCATTTCAACACTGCATATGGCAATTTAAGGAAATCAACACTCATACCAACATTAATAAGTATTCATAAAATATCAAAACTTCAACTTAACTAGATACTGCCAGATTTCTCTATATAGTGGTTGGCAAATTTATACTCCCACTGGCAGCATATGAGGGTTCTCAATGTCACAGGTTTTTAACACAATTTGCACTTTCAAGAGTTTTTCATTTTTGCTTATCTGATGGGAATAAAATGGTATCCTACTGCAAATATACAAACTCCTGACTGCTTGTCAGGCTGAATACCTTGTCACACTTTTTTGCCATTTGGATTTCTACTATTGTGAACTGCCTATTCCCCACCCTTCTCCATCCCCCCACCAAAACCCACCCATTTTTCTACTGCGTGCCTTCATTTTTAAAATTTTCTTTGTCGAAATTTCCCAGATATCCTGGATAAAAGTCCTGGAATTTTTTAGTTTATATATATAGTGTATCCTCTTCCAATCTGGCACGCTGTTTCACTTTATCCCTGGAGTCTTTTGAAGCACTAGGTTTTCATTGTATTACGATCAAATACATCAATCAGTCTCTTGCTGTACAACTCGTATTTGCTAAATTACTTAAGAAATTCTTTCCTCAGATGATAATGAGACTTCTCTATTTTATTCTGAAGTCTTTATAGCTTTCCAGTCCCCATTTAGGTCTTTAATTTACTTGTAGCTTATTTTTTTTATACGTGATATAAGGTAAGTAGAAAATTTTTCTCAACATGGATATCCAACAGTCCCACCACTCCCCACTCCCCAGATCTGCATTGCTACCTCTGAAATTTCCAGTTATTTGTGGGACTGGGTTCTTTTTTTAACCACTGCATTCTGATCCACTGTTCTATTTGTCTATCCTTGAATCAGTATCGGACTGTCTTCCCTACTATAGCCTCATAAATCATTCATGCATCATTTTTTAGCCTGGCTAATTTTAGGCTTTTGTTCTTCATTTACATTTTGAAAACAACTTGTCAAGATTCATGAATTTTATTTGAAAATTGCACTGAATTTTTACATTGATTTAGGAGAGAACAGATAGCTTTACGAGATAGCTTTATGATGTTGAATTTTCTATTATATGAAGAAGGTATATTTTTCCATTTAGGTTTTCTTTAATATCTTTGAAGTTTTGTAATTTTCTCCATCAAAATTACAGTTTTTGCTTAGATTTTAAACTGATTCCTATGTACCTTGAATTTGTGTTTGTGTATGGGTATTTCTAAAAAAAATGTTGCTGATAAAAAGACTGTAATAATTTTCAGTATACTGATATCAAATCCAGCAAATTTACTAAAAGACTTCATTATTATTTATTCATTCGTTTGTCTTTTTTGGGTGTTCTACATATAATCACATAATAACAATATTGTGTCTTTATTTCTATGTCTTGTAATTTTAGTTTTTTTTTCTTGTTTTACTATACTAGCTAGATATTCTATTAAAACAGAAATGATTATAGCTGACATTCTTGTGTTATTTCTGCTTTTAAAGAAAATGCTTCTTACATGTCACCATTAAATATGAAGACTGATGTAGGGTTCTAGTAAATACATTTTGTTGATTTAATAACATTCCCTTCTATTCCTAATTTTCTAAGAACTTTTTTAAAAATCAAGAATAGGTGGTGAATCTTACTGAATATCTTTTATATACATAAATATATAAAATATATAAATGTGTGTGTATATATATTAAAATGACCAATATATTTTAATCCTTTAATCTGTTGATGTGATAAATTATATTAATAGACTTCCTAACATTAAATCAATCTTATTTTCTGGGATAAATCTGAAGTGTCATGACTTTCATGTTTGTGGATTCAATTCGCTAAAATTCTTGGATATTTTTACTTGTATTTTCAAGTTTATAAGTACAACTGATTACAATTTTACATTCTTTTATCAGTCTGGGTATTAAGGTTTTACGAAACATTTAAAAGAAGTTGAGGAATGTTGTTTTTCACTTCCCTCCCCTGGAATATTTTGGTAGAATTTATCATGTAAAACAATCATGAGCCCATTCTGTGTGTGTGTGCACGTGTGTGCATGCGTGCACGTGTGTGATGAGGAGGCAGGGGTAGTTTGTTATTTACTGATTCGATTTCTTTAATAACTATAAGCCTATATAGTTTTCTAGTTCATTTGAAATCAGTTTTCATAAGTCACATTTTTCTAGGAAATTGTGAATTTCACCTAAGTTACTGACATAAAATACTTATAATTTTAAATCTCTGCTGCATCTGTAGTTACATCCCTCTTTTCATTCTGAATATTATTTGTACCTTCCCTCCTTTTTGTTGATCAATCTTGAGAGAAGTTTGCTTTATCATTTTAAATGAACCAAATTTTTCACTTTGTTTATCCTCTTCACGTATTACTCACTCATTCCCATTAAAAAAACATTTACTGAGATCCTGGTTTACGTCAAGTACTCCTCTTGAGCCTGGAGACAGAGCAGTAACAAAACAGATAAAAATTCCTGCGCTTAGGGAGCTCACAGTTTTGCAGAGAAGACAAGACACAGCGTAGATAACATCTACAGCAGGTCACAGGCTAAACAATAAAGCACAGCGGGACACAGAGCATGGGGCAGCGTGCGAGGGTCCAGAGCCATGAGGACTGAGGACCGGGATGAAAGAAGAGTCTGGAGCGTGTTGTGACAGCTAAGTAAATTAGAACACAGGGCCTAACAAATTCAACCTGCCCCGGGCCGGCCCAGTGGCGCAAGTGGTTAAGTGCACACGGTCTGCTGCGGCGGCCCGGGGTTTGCCGGTTCAGATCCCGGGCACGCACCGATGCACCGCTTGGCAGGCCATGCTCTGGCGGTGTCCCATACAAAGTGGAGGAGGATGTTAGCCCAGGGCCAGTCTTACTCAGCAAAAAAGAGGAGCATTGGCAGATGTTAGCACAGGGCTAATCTTCCTCACACACACAAAAAAATTTCAACCTGCTGACAGTACTGATGGGAATCTGAGTTAACTGAAGGTGAAGTCTCACCCCGAGTTCTGAAGCTCCCTCTCCACTCCTGTCAACAACGATGCAGAAGCCAGGACCCCAATGGTCTCATCAGGATCTCAAGCAGCTGCCAAGCACCACCCCGGAGGGAGCTCCTACTTGACCACCAGTTGTTTCCTTAATGTTCTCTATTATCATCTTTTTATTTCATTAGTTTGTTTTATCTTTATTATTTCATACAGTCAGTATTAGCTGAGATTTATTTAAGTAATTACCAATTTCTTTGTTCACCATTCCTCCTTGCAAAGTTCCTCCACTGGTCACTTTCCTTTTTCCTAAAGTACAGTCTTTGGATGTTCCTTTAGTCATGGTCTATAGACAGTAAATTTTCTCAATTTTTTTTGTCTGAAAATAACTATTTCATTCTCATTCTTGGAATGATAATTTAGCTCAGCGGTTCACAAAGTGACGTCCTCAATCTGGCAGCATCAGCATCTTCTGAGAACTTACTATAAATGCTGAATCTTATGCCCCACTTCAGACCTACTGCATCAGAAATCCTGGGCTGGGGCCAACAAGCTGTGTTATAATTAGCGCTCCAAGCGATTCTGATGCACTTTCAGGTTTGAGGACCACTGGCTTAGTTGGTACACAAGCAAAGGTCAGCAGTGACTCCCCTCAGCACTCTGACCGTGCCGATTCCATCGTCTTTGGGCCCCAAGTGCTGCAGGCGAGCTGTGTACTATCTGGGTAATCCTCACGTTGTCTAAGTCATGTCATTTTCTGTCTGGCTGCTTTTAAGATCTTCTCATTGTCTGTCTTCTCAAGTTGCATCACAATGCATCTTCATGTTGTTTGCATTTTATTTATCCTGCTTGGGATTGTTGTTCTTTGATTCTGAGAACTCACGTTTTTCATTAATCCTGGAATATTCTCAGTTATTAACTCTTCGAATGATGTCTCTCATTCACTCTATTTTGTTCTTTTGACCTCTGATTCAATAAATCTTAGACCTTATTTTACCACCCATGATTTTTAATCTCTTTCACATCTTTCATCTCTCTTGGGACTACATTCTGGATAATGCCTTTAAATCTACCCTCTAGTTAACTTCTCTCTTCTTCAGCTCTGTCTAATCTACAATTTAAACCATCCCTTGGGATTTTGGGTTTTTTCCTTATATTAAGTTCTGTTTGGTTCTTTTGTAAAGATGCTCTAATCTTTTTGTGATAGAATATTGTCATTGTTAATGATTCCAATTCTCTCTTCCTATTTCTTTAAATACTTTAAACAGACATTTTATAAGCAATGTCTGATGATTTCAGTATCTTAAGTAATGGGCACTGGGGTTTGTTTTATGCTAACGCTCACTCACTCACTCATGATTGCTTGTTTCTTTGTATAGTTTGGAATTTCCACGTGTCTTTTGGAATTCAGAATTGCAAGCTCATGTTTGCTCACCTGAGAGAATCAGGAAGCCTGGGTTAAGAGTATTTCACACCAGAGACGATTTGCTTTTGCTTTTACAGGCTCCAAGGGAGCTACTAAACCAAGACTATCCAAGTTATTTTTCCAGTTAAGAATTTCTTAGAATAATGCAGATATTGTACTTTCAAACCTTAAACTCATGTGAAGGTGAGCCTATAGTTATGAATTACCAGGGGAACTCTTGCATTCCTCTGAGCCATGGCTGAGACAAACAAGTTTCCTTGGGGTCTCCTAGTCCTGGTTGGTGGAATTTTTTTTTCCTAACCCATCCTTTCACTGAGAGATAACCCTTTGAGTATTGTGAGAAAAGGGCTAACAGAACTCTTTCTCCTTTCCTGTGGACACATTTGACATTGGGATAAGTTCCTAGCTCTGTTTAATGAAAACCTAATAAAGGTGGAACGCCAGCTGTGTTTCCAGGCAATAGTGCTTATACGTAGTCCACTGAAACTGGACATACCCCTCAGGACAACCTGGAGGCTATGTTTACGGGACTGTTATGAGAGATATTGGTTCCCTGTGGGTACACAGAATTTCTAATTATAAACCGTTCCTACACCCACCTATGAGATTCTGTTCTCTTCACCTAAGCTGTCACCTGGAAGGCCAAAGACTAGGCTCAGGACTGCGGCAGGGGCTTCCACGAAAGAGAAACACCTGATGCTGCCCTGCTGTTGTTCCATATTTCCTGTAAATAACTCCAATGCCAAACGTAACATATCGTCACGTGAGTATCTCTAGCTGAGCCTAAGATGGCCCCTTGGAGGGCATTTCAAGAGTCCTGGCTTAGAGCAAGAGGCACAGGAGGAGGGAAGAGAAAGTTGACTTTCTAACCCTCCACTTTGTACAAGCCCAAAAAATCAACTCCTCTCTCCCACAAAGAAATTAAAACCCAAGCCTCTAAGTAGTGAAGATCAGTCAAAATCTTAAATGTAGCTGCAGTGTCAGGATTAATTTACCAATTTGACCTCTAGTTTCCTTTATATTTTTGTCCTGTTTCTCTAACTTTTCTGAGAGCTAAGCTATACACTCAAAAGGATATTTGTTCCATTTTATCCAGCATTTCTAGGTGTTTTTGGACCTAGGAAACGTCCAGGAAATCTAGTCTATTATACTTCAGAAAAAGAAGTCTCTAACATTTTTTCATCTACTATGGTTATAATTATTTCTATCTGGAATGGGGGGATAGGATAGTAAGGGTAAGTTAGGTGAGCAAGGGGCTTCCCATCACATATCAACCATCTAAAGAGAAAGAAGGAAAACCAAAGAAGAACCCAAATTTGTTTTTTAATGTGAGTTTTGCCCCTGCCTGTTGACACTTCTTTTGTCTACCTCTTTGGAAAGACAAGATGATCTTTTCATTCAAGTATACGTATTTATTAAATTCTCCATTCTATAAGAGAATGTTAATACTATATTCAGCCTTGATTCAAAACACATGCCTCCAGACATAAACAACACAGTACAACCACACTCCAGGACTTCGAGAAACACATGCTCACTTTTTTGATATTTAACACGTATCAAAACCTCAGCTGAGACAAACAGTATTTACTAAAGAATCTAGCTAGAAAGATAGCAATTCCTCTATTCCTCTATGGTTCTCAGCCTTTGTTATATGTAAGCAACACTTAAAACTTCTTAAATGGCAGATGCCCAGATCCCACTCTCCAAACCAAAGAAATCAAAATCTCAGGGACAGACCTGGACATGTTCATTTTTAGAAAGCTCCACGGGCGCTTCTGATGGCAACCAGGATTGAGAGCTAATATCTTAGATACTTGAAAATCTATCCTTGGATTACATCTGAATAACAGATAGCTGTATACGTTATACACATACAACACAAGCAGACAATACACGTACTTACACATAACATACACACACCCCACAACTGTTTTTTGTGGATCATAGGACGTCATGTTATAGGCCTGCATTGAGGGCATCTTAAGAAAACACCCTATGAGATTCATCCCCATATTTACGGTAGGGATGTTAATTAAAAAGTTATCCATTGAATTATTCAGTGCCTCTTTATGAGAATTCACAGGAGAACTTTTGGGGCCTCAGGACTCGTTGTGCTTTCACAGAGAAACTGATTTATTTTTCCTTTTTAGACAACATGAATTATGTAATTAACTGCTCCTATCTTCCCCTATACTCTGGCTGCTACAAGTCTAGACCCCAACTTGTGGCTCCTGGCTAGCCTATATACAGGGTCTCATGACACATATTTTGTGGACTAACTTCATTCCTTTTTTTCATTGTATCTTTTAATTCTCATTTTCCCTTTTTCTATTCTTCTTTCATTTTTAAAAATATTGTATGTCACTGTACGTTATGGATTTATCTATCTTGTCTTAAAACTTTCCAGAATAAGTTGGGATACATATAAAAAGTAAATATATATAACTGAGATGATTTCATTATATGCTTAAAAACAGTGAATGTACAAGTCATGCAAATACTGTGACAGATTAGAAAGGGAAGTACATGGATAATCACAACCTTAGCAGGGAGTTTAAATGTATTAAAATGCTGCTGAAAATTATAATAGCAGTGGTTTAAAGGGTGTATTATTCAACACTTGGAGGTAAAAATAACTATGTTGCAGTTAAAAGAAAGACACAAAAAACACAAATGAAACCAGTGGAACTGAACAAATTGTCTTTGAGCATTTATAACAATAATTATAACTACAAGGTATAGGAAAATATTATTTATGTACAAACTATTTCTTTAGTGTACAACTTAAAAGCCAGATTAAATCATATAGCAAAGAAAGTATCAGATTTTCTATAAATAGCCTGATATATATTTTTGTATATGGTGCTTGGAAAACTACATATACTCATTTTTATTTTGGTTATTAGAATATCAGAGTTAAACATACCTGGCTATGTAGCTATCAGTATATGTTTTTCTTTTGCTCATAAGCACACCTGAGGCAGGATTTCGTGCCAAACTGGGTGGTGTGGTATTTCGAGGTTTGATGTTAGCTCTAGAAGACAGAAAGAGATGGCATAATGAAAAACTATTGACTAGTAAGCATTTATTTCTCAAGTTGCTTATCTGCATAATTAGAAAAATAATTAGAAGCTGTGGAGAGGTAAATTCAAAAGATTAACATCAAATAATTATTTTAAATCTGAAAACAATAGTAGTTAATACTAAGGATAAACCAAAGCATTTTGCATTCACTAACAGTATCCTGATGGTACATAAAATCAATTAAAATATATATATATATATATATGCTTTATATGAAATTTATAAGTTAATCATTCTGAAAGGCTTCGAGTTTTTTAAAGTTTAAAATCTATAGTTCCCTCCAAATAGACGTGTTTTATTAAATGCCTACAAGTAACTGTTAAATAATATGTTTAACACCTGAGATGTGGTTAAAAAAATAGCTAACCACTTTAAGAAGATAATATTCAATATATGACAGTCTGTTCTTGGAAACAGCAACTAAAATAAATAGGTTAATATGATTTTCCCTTTAAAGATTTAATTTCACCAACTACACAGCCTGAGCTATCTGGTATCAGTAGAGAAGGAGCTCTGGTTTGATCATCACTGAATTCCCTTTCTGAAACTTGAGGAATCAAAGAAAGCTTAGAGGGCTATATGATGGTATAACGGTAGAAGCATAGGCTTTGGGATTCAGATGAATCTGGATTCAAATCCCAACTGCTACTGATCAAGTTTGTTATAGCGATCAACCTGCTGAGCCCAAATTCCCTCATTTATAAAACGTGACCATCACTTATCTTATAGGCAGTTATGAGACATAAATTGCAATTTATACAAACATTTAGCATAGTTGATGATGATGATACTATTATTACTACTATGGCTATTGCTACTACTACAAGTTAACATTTACATAATGGTGCTTACTACATTTGGTATAGCTACATTTCTAATTGCTTTCACATATAAACTTATTTAATCCTCATAATAATCCTATGAAGTAGGTAGAATTAATAACTCCATTTTATAAATGAGGCAACAGAGATAGTAACTCACCAAGGTGACACGGCCAGCATGTTGCTGAACCAGGGGCCAGATGTTTAATCAAATTTTAGTTCCCTCCCCCCAGAGATTTAGTCAAATCTGTTCATTTCAGAGATAAGCAATGTTATGTTGTACAAACAAGCAGAATACTTTTTAAAATTCCTTTAGATTGGAAGTTCTTAAACTTTGGCTAAAATTCTTCCTCCTCTACTAGTACAGCAAAACTGGAGAGAGTCTCCTAATATTTTAGATAGCTACCTCCAAAATACATGGAGGTAATAACAACATCTACTATTTTTCAATAAATACACTACATGTCAAATACAATGCTAGGTACTATACATACTTCACTGCTTCCTCTTCACAGAATCTCAGAAGGTATTATTCCCATTTTAAAGTTGAAGAAACTCATATTCAGAGAGAATAAGTAAGTTGCAAAGCTATTATGTGGCCAGAGTACTTGAACTTGAATTTAGGTGGGTTGTATTACAATTCTTATATTCAAATATGCAATGCTGTCATTCAAAGAGGGGCTGCTTTGAACAGTTACTTTAAATTATTTCTAAGCTTCGACGAGTGAAGAACCACCTTGGTGCATAGACGGGTTACCCTGGACCTCTTCAAACGGCCATGAAGTGTCCATCCATGAGGTGTATTTTGAAGGTGTATCTACGCTACTTTATATGGCCCCTCGAGGGATGTTGCAGAACTGCGACAGTGCCTTTTTAGAAATACGTTCTCTAAAAAATCACTGCCAAAAAATGGCAGTTCCTCCAGTGAGAGTCATAAGAACAGGAAGGACACTCTTTTTTTTGGTTCTGGAACAAATTTTCTTAGAAATCCTATCACCTTCATATAATATGTACATGAGATATGCAGACAATACAAACACAGCTTATCACATATTTTTAGTAATGTCTTCTAAGACATGGAATTTGAATATCAAAAACCACTCTTAAGAGATTGAAAAGAACTGTCTTGATTGGTACTTAAAACATGTTGCCCTAGGGGCCATCCTGGTGGCGTAGTGGGTTAAGTGTGTGGGTTAAGTGTGCGGGCTCCGCTTCACAGGCCTGGGATTCGCAGGTTTAGATCCCAGGAGCGGACCTACCCACCGCTTACCAAGCCATGCTGCAGCAGGCGTCCCACATATAAAGTAAAGGAAGAATGGGCAGAGATGTTAGCCCAGGGCCAATCTTCCTCAGCAAAATGAGGAGGATTGGCAACAGATGCTAGCTCAGGGCTAATCTTCCTCACCAAAAAAAAAAAAAAACCCAAAAAACCCCACACATATTGCCCTAGTTTCACATGGCCAAGACATTTTTCTTCCTGGTTAGAATCGGAATAACCTACTCTTATTCTGTATCTGCTTGCTATAGTACAAGCAATAATAAAAGAAAATTTAATTTTGGAATTAAATTTAATCTACACTTAATCTACCTTACTGCTAGTCAATGTTTCTCTGAGATCTGCTTCAGAGAGTACAGACAGCAGTAGTAGCACAAAAAAAAATGGCTCAGGGCCCAAATTCTTCCTTTTAGGATTTATCACTAACTACTCAAAAATCACACATGGCTGCTGCTAATACCTTCACGACTTCTTCCAACTTTATGTTACTGTAAATCTAGTTACATTTATTATTACTTTTCATACATGGTAAAAGAACGTTCCAGTAGGCCTTGGTTTAAAAATTAGCTAAGGGAACTGTGTTTAACAATATATTTTTCAACTTTAATAAGTAATTTGTTAGACCCTAATTTCATCATTTTCAAACCAGAAGGCTAGACTTGGTATGGGGGCCCAAACTAGTACGCCTTGAAGACTTACGTGGAGGAGTTCCAAAGTGACTGCCATTGCCACACGTGCCTCTCTTCTCAGTTTGCTAAGGCAGTAACAAATGTCTGAATGTTTTCTAAGATCCTTTTTCCTGCCTTTTTATAATAATTCATCATCTGCTTAACTAAAAGGTAATCCAGCAATATTAAATAATACATGTGGCATAATATTCCCTCTACTCTTCTTTTCAAAAATATTACTACTAAAGAAAAAGCTTCATGAAAAAAACAATTACTGAAGGTGACTATTTCAACCCTTTAAAAATTAAAATTGAACAGAATAAAATGTATACTCTAAAAAAAGCCATTATTTGGGACGACAGAAATGTTCACCAAAAATCAAAGTGTTTTAAGTCCTAGAAGATTATCTAGCACTTCTTGGATTAAAAATGATTTAAATAACATTTTTTAAGTATAGGAATATACAAGTTTATAGTATTCAATTATAGAAAGCCTTTAAGGAAATATCTGAAAAAGATTAACCAAACTAAGTTACAAGTACTTACTTGGAAATGGGTAATAACTCATGTCTTTTGGTGGCACTGTCTGATTGTGTATCACTGTCATACAACCTTTGCACATGTCTTCCAGTTCGAAGTGGAGGGCCTAACTTGTCCATCTTACTATTAAAATATATAAAGGTGTACCCATAAGGAGATTGCTACTATTTGTTTCTTTATATAAAATTTTTTTTTAAAAAGACATTATTCTGGTTCATCAGAAATCCACCCCACAAGCTGTTAATTATCTGACTGCCAATGTAAGACAACTAACATCAAAAAGAATCCTCACACAGTTTATACAATGTCCATTATTAGATATGAAAATTAGGCCACTCTGCCAGTTCTGATGAATGCACAAAAAAATGCCACATTTATATGCAGCAGGGCAATGGAATCAATGAGGAAACTTAAGGTAACAACTGTTTCAAAAAAAATTCATGAAGCTAGAAGTGAACTTAAGTCATTATTCTAATAAATAAGACAGATCTGATGCCTGTTGTTAATGAAGCTCACAAATAATCTCACTTTTTCCCTTCCCTGAATTCACAGAACCTTTCTCTTTTCTTCTTTATAATTTCCCTTGCATTTAAAAATTCCAAATATAAAATAAGGAATCAAATAAATAATATATTTATATCTTTACCCAAACTGACTTTCTAACAAAGAATGACTATTTGTGAAATTCATCCAAAGAAAAGTAAAACATGATCTTATGTGAAAAAACATGGATGGCAATTCTGAAAAATCACATATAAAAATGTTAAAGGGCCATGCCATCTGAGGCTTTCTATTTTTTTTTTCACTTACAAAAGTATAAAGGATCTCCATCTAGAGGATAATAGAAGAACTGCTGGTTTGTAGATATTTCATGGTTTTACATGAACCAAATAACTGAATCATATATACTATCACCAACCAATATCCATTGATAGCAGGGAAAATTAAATTAGGACATCAGGAGAACTATCTTAAAAAAACTACTGAACAACACAGCACTGCTTGTTCACTTTAAAAGTCCAATCTTTAAGGGATGCTTGTTTGCTTGTTCATTCTTCCCCTTACTCATTGACTACAAATCCTGAGCACCTACTATGTGTCAGGCACTGTGCTACATTCTGGGGAAAGAGAGACTTGATGCTTGTTCTTATGAAGTTCAGCGTCTAAAAAGAATCTGTTCATTTCTCTAGATTATAAAGGTCTCTAATGAGGGACACATTTTATCTATTTTTATGTTCTTTCAGTATCCTCTACACAGCAGGAATTTTGTTGTAATATTTGATATTAATATTTTACAGATGGTTTACATTAAATTTAAAACATTTTAAGATTTTTTAAAAATGCTTTCATTAAATATATATATTAAGCATAATTTCTAAAATGTTTGAGATTAAATCTGATTTTTTTTTTTTAATTTGTGAAAGATTACTGGAAAATTCAACTATCTGGAATTTTAATTAACAAATCAGATTTTCCTTTGAATCATTTAAGAATTATCAAAACATCACTGTTCCAAACAGTGGTTATCTTAACAAAAAGTATCTGTGGATTTGGAATAAGAAATAAAAGATCTTATTTTCTTTCTCAGAAAAAAAGTTACTAAAATTTAAATTTAGAAAATTTTAAACTACATTTTTAAAACAGAT